TAGAGACGGGGTTTCACCATGTTGACCAGGATGGTCTCGATCTCTTGACCTCGTGATCCACCCGCCTCGGCCTCCCAAAGTGCTGGGATTACAGGCTTGAGCCACCGCGCCCGGCCTGGTTCAAGCTATTCTTATGCCTCAGCCTCCCAAGTAGCTAGGACTACCAGTGTGAGCCACCACGCCCCGCTAATTTTTGTATTTTTAAGAGAGGTGGGGTTTCACCACGTTGGCCAGGCTGGTCTTGAACTCCTGACCTCAGGTGATCCGCCTGCCTCAGCCTCCCAAAGTGCTGGGATTTCAGGCATGAGCCTCTACATATGGCTTATTCTGAATTTTATTTCTTTTTTCTTTTCTTTCTTTTTTTTTTTTTGACTCAAAGTTCTGCTGAACTATTCTGACTTTTATAGCAATCACTTCCTTAGTTTAGTTTACCCTTAGTTTAGTTTAGATGTGGATACATTCCTTAACAATATGGTTTCTTGGCCAGGCATGGTGTCTCACGCCTGTAATCCCAGCACTTTGGGAGGCTGAGGCTGCTGGATTACCTGAGGTCAGGAGTTCGAGACCAGCCTGACCAACATGGAGAAACCCCATCTCTGAAAACATACACACACACACACACACACACACACAAATACAAACAATGGTTTCTTTTGTTGGCCTTCAAAGATATCCATATGTAATATTTTAAAAAAAATTTTTATATTTTTCTCCAAGTATGTAATATGTATTTGTTATGTGCATGAGAGTGGAGTTGCTTCCACTTTATCAGATAATGCTAAAATCTCTTCCACAGTGGTTTAACCACTTGTGTTCTCTCTCTCTCTTTTTTTTTTTTTTGAGACGGAATCTCACTCTGTTGCCCAGGCTGGAGTACAGATGTACAATCTCGGTTCACTGCAACCTCTGTCTCCTGGGTTCAAGTGATTCTCCTCCCTCAGCCTCCTGAGTAGCTGGGACTACAAGTGAGTGCCACCATGCCCAGCTAATTTTCTGTATTTTTAGTAGAGACAGGGTTTCACCATGTTAGCCAGGATCTCCTGACCTTGTGATCCACTCCCCTCAGCTTCCCAAAGTGCTGGAATTCCAGGCATGAGCCACCGTGCCTGGCTTCTAGAGTCTTTTAATTTGCCTTTTACATTTAATCTCTAGTGTAGTGGGAATTGATTTTTGTATATGGCTTAAAGTAGGGGTTCAGTTTTATTATTTTATTTATTTTTATTTTTGAGACAGAGTCTCACTCTGTCACCCAGGCTGGAGTACAATGGCTTGATGTCGGTTCAGTGCAACCTCTGCTTCCCATAGGGCTGGAATTATAAGCAGGAGCCACTGGGCCTGGCTATTTTTTTTCTTTTAGATGCTCAGTTATCACAGCATCTTTGAAATGTGTGTCCTTTTTCTCTTGCTCATAAGTACAAACTCTATGAAAAAGTGTCCCTATATGTGTGAATCTGTTTCTGGGATCTGTGTTATGTTCCAGTGGTCACTTTATGTAGCTTTTGGACAATACTATCTTAATTATTATGGCTTTGTAATTATGTCCTGATACCTGGTGAACCAAGTCTTTCCACCTTGTTCATCTTTGAGAGGCTCTTCATGGCCTTTTGCATTTTCAAGTAAAATTTTAGAATCAGCTTATCAGTGTCATACACTCATAAAAAAACTTTTTGGGATTTTGATTACGATTGTACTGAATTTATAGATCGCTTTAGGGAGAACTAACTTCAAGATATTGTGTCTTCTAATCTATAAAAGTGATATATGGGCCGGGCGCAGTGACTCATGCACTTTGGGAGGCTGAGGCAGGTGGATCACGGAGTCAAGAGATCGAGACCATCCTGGTCAACATGGTGAAACCCTGTCTCTACTAAAAACACAAAAATTAGCTGGGCATGGTGGCGCACGCCTGTAGTCCCAGCTACTCGGGAGGCTGAGGCAGGAGAATTGCTTGAACCCAGGAGGCAGAGGTTGCGGTGAGCCGAGATCGTGTCATTGCACTCCAGCCTGGGTAACAAGAGCGAAACTCCATCTCAAAAAAAAAAAAAAAAGAAAAAGAAAAAGTGATATATGGCCGAGGAGGGCAGATCATGAGGTCAGGAGATCGAGACCAGCTTGGCTAACACCGTAAAACCCCGTCTCTACCAAAAATACAAAAAAAGGAAAATAGCCAGGTGTGGCGGTGGGCACCTGTAATCCCAGCTACTTGGGAGGCTGAGGCAGGAGAATCCTTAAACCCAGGATGCGGAGGCTGCAGTGAGCCGAGATGGCACCACTGCACTCCAGCCTGGGCCACAGAGCAAGACTCCGTCTCAAAAAAAAAAAAAAAAAAAGTGATATAGATCTCCATTTATGTCAGGCCTTCTCCAGTGTCTCACAATAAATTCTAATTTGCTGCACACAGATCTTACACACATTTTGTGACATCTTGGTATCAAATACACCTTAGTATTTTTCATAGTACTGGAAATTATAACTCAAAATTATTTCTTATCTAATTGTTTGTTGCTCATATACAGTATATAGATATATAATTGATTTTTTGTTTGTTTGTTTGTGTGTGTGTGTGTGTGGTTTCTTACTCCTGGCTTCAAGTGTTATCCCACCTCAACCTCCCAAAGTGCTGGGATTACAGGTGCAAGCCACAGTGTCTGGCCTAATTTTTTTTTTTGTGTGTGTGTATGCGTGTGTGTGTGTGTAGATATATATATTTTTAAACGGAGTCTCGCTCTGTCACCCAGGCTGGAGTGAAGTGGTGCAATCTTGGCTCACTGCACCCTCCACTTCCCCAGTTCAAAGTGATTCTCCTGCCTCAGGCTCCTGAGTAACTGGAATTACAGGCATGTGCCACCACACCCAGCTAATTTTTGCATTTTTAGTAGAGACAGGGTTTTGCCAGGCTGGTCTCGAATTCCTGACCTCAGATGATCCGCCCACCTTGACCTCCCAAAGTGCTGGGATTACAGGCGTGTGCCACCTTGCCCAGCTGTTTTCTTTTTTGTGTTGTTTTTTTTTTGTTTCGTCGTCGTTGTTGCTTTTGAGATGGAGTCTTGCTCTGTTGCCAGGAGGGTGTGATCTCGGCTCACTGTAACCTCTGCCTCCCAGCTTCGAGCGATTCCCCTGCCTCAGCCTCCCGAGTAGCTGGGACTACAGGTACACGCCACCACATCCAGCTAATTGTTGTATTTTTCAGTAGAGATGGGGTTTCACTATGTTGGCCAGGATAGTCTCCCATCTCTTGACCTCATGATCTGCCTGCCTCAGCCTCCCAAAGTGCTGGGATTACAAGCGTGAGCCACCGCGCCCGGCCTTTTTTTTTTTTTTTTTTTTTTTTGAGGTGAGTCTCCCTCTTGTCGCCTAGGCCGGAGTGCAGTGGTGCGATCTCCGTGGCTCACTGCAACCTCAGCCTCCCAAGTAGCTGGGACTACAGGCACTTGTCATCACACCCGGCTAATTTTTTGTACTTGTAGTAGAGACGGCGTTTCACTGTGCTAGCCAGGGTGGTCTCGATCTCCTGACTTTATGATCCACCTGCCTCAGCCTCCCAAAGTGCTGGGATTACAGGCATGAGCCACCGTGCCTGGCTTTGTTTTTTTACTTTACTAAAATACTGAGTTTCATTTCACATGTATATTTTTGTCTTCCTACCACTTCCATGTCTGACCATCACCACTATTATGTCTGATCATAACATCCCATACATACTTAAAACCAAGCAAAGGGTGGAGTTCCATCTTTAAAAACTAAACAGGCATTTTGGACAACACATTCCTGGCAGTGGAACCTGAACAACATTTATCAAACATGGTAGAGAAACTTCTTACTTTGCATTATAAAAAGGATAGCCAGGGCTGGGCGCAGTGGCTCATGCCTGTAATCCCAGCACTTTGGGAGGCTGAGGCGGGCGGATCATGAGGTCAAGAGATCGAGACCATCCTGGCCAACATGGTGAAATCCTGTCTCTACTAAAAACACAAAAATTATCTGGGCATGGTGGCGTGCGCCTGTAGTCCCAGCTACTTGGGAGGCTGAGGCAGGGGAATTGCTTGAACCCAGGAGGTAGAGGTTGCAGTGAGCCGAGATTGTGACACTGCATTCCAGCCTTGCAACTGGCGACAGAGCAAGACTCTGTCTCAAAC